TCTAAGGCAAAATATTGTTTTTTTTTGCGAAGAAGGCAAAAGCAAAATTGTAGAAATTTACACTACGTTGTTGTAGGGATTCTAGAAAAACCGAATGGATTTCACTACTAGTGTATGAATAGAAATCTTTGAAACATGTTCTTTTAAAGTAGAAACGATGCTCTATCCAACAAAAAAAGAATTAGATTTCTATCACCTTCCGTTCAAATACAACAGAGACTGACATTTTTCCAAGAACTTTTGCATAACCCGTTAGTAACTCATTTAAGTTCGATATATGTATATGATTCATCAATACTCGAGAAAAAGAATTCGAATTTGAATTGATTCGACAAAAAAGAGAACCAATGTGTAAGACCCAGAGGGATGCAATAGTCAAAGACATTACCAAACAGTTACCACCAAAAAAAACATCACTACTTGTCATGTGTAGACCTTGTCAATATAATATATATTTTATTAAATAGAAATAGCAATTAATGTACTGATGTTTGTATGTAATACGAGCATATTGCAAATGAATAATGACAACAATGAATTTAAAAAAAAAAACAAATTCGTTTATTAATGTTTAAATAAATAAAGAACAATACAATTTTTATGATCTATCAATAAGTACTTCCAATTTGTAATGAATTGTCGTTTATGATGACTACAGTGATTCAATGAAAAGCATCAATTGAATGCGTAACTGTATCAAATTAGTCAATCATTCGGCGTGAAACTCATTTTGACATGAATTTCTCCACGAGACGATAGTCCGAAGCGAGTAGGCAATTTCACCCATTCATCGAATTCACCATCGTCGAATACATGTTTCAGACTAACTTTACCTTTACCAATTGTGTCTCTACCGATAAGATCAGCATCGTAAACATCAAAATGAATTGTATTGTCACCCTTGTGAATATTGAATGTAAATCGTTCGTTCCATACGGGATTGTTTGTATTTTTAATTGTTATTGTACGTTGTTTATATTTTTTGTCCATGTAAATTTCAACATATGCATCATTTTCACCAAAAAAATCACAATTCTTAAGACTGCGTCCTTCAAGAATGACCACTTCTAATACACCTTTTGACATGTTATTTCTTCCAATAGATTGCTATATGAAGTAAATGAAGTTTTATCCTGTTTGTTCAATATTTTGTATCGAGCCTCTCACTTATATAGGAAAGGAGAAAGAGAGAGAATTGTGCTTTTTTTCCTGCCATCGCTTTCATTTACTCCTACTCTTTATATGAGTAATATTCCTTTTTCATACATTATGATTCACTTACCTATTCAAGAGAGTAGTCGAAATGAGTCAAAAGTAACCTGACATTATGTTCATATGCCAATAGAGTTTCGAATCTGGTGAACTTTATGTAAATGGGTTTTTCAGATGCATGATCTTATAAAGTGACATAATTAAGTTTCAAATGTTGCTTTCGAATTGACGGAAAAAGTAGATAAAAGATAAATGTTGAGAGAGAGTGTGGGTGGATATGCATATGAGTGAAGCCGTGTGAGTTAAAAATTATCTGTGAGCGCTTAAATAAATGATTGAATATGTTCAGATCGAAGTAATCATCGAGAAAATGTAGCGAGTCATCGATTTCAATAAAAGAGATACCGAATTTATTCAGCTGTCAACTATCTTAGAAGCTGAGAAAATGGAAGAACATTGAATAATCCTTACGGAGAAAATTGTATCAGAGAAGAGAAGAGACTTTTGAATTGAGAAACATATTGTAGACACCGTTTTGATGATTTTAATCTCTCAGAAGAGATATGAAAAAGCAAGCTGTAATTTACCCAGCAATTCTAAATTAATCCTTGTGACTTGTCAATAGAATTGAATTCAACAAGTTAAGACTGATTTTTTAGCTCTTTCTTTCTAGGAGAAACTCCATCAACGTTTTACTCGATGAATTTACAATTCAACGCACAACTTCGACCTCATTTATATTTCTATTACCTTGTCCTTCTAAACTAATTAATACAAGTACATATACTTGTTCTATTATCGTAGTTTCATCCGCTGTGTTTCAGTTCATGCCAATTTAGAAAACATGTTGGTACAGCATCAATGAACACTTTCCTTTATTTTCAAACTTGTAGAAATACAGAACAACGTGAACGTGCTCAAATATTTGTTTTTATGAGTTCGGTTTCGGTTTTTACTCCAAGTGTCAACTCATGTCATGAAAAATGAAATAACTCTGTGTGTGTGCACATACATTTACGACGAAGAACGAAAAAATAGTGCCTGCCAAAGACAAATTGTGAGCGTGGGTTTGGCCACTTCAATGATGGTTGAAGCGAACAGCTATATAAATGAATCAGTATCGATTATGTAAATGCATTATATATATTAAAGCAACAGTTCAGCTTGCAGACACCAATGAGTCACATTATTTTTGGATTTGCGTGGTTTATAAACGGTATGTCTCATTTACTGAAAATCTGAAAAACATATGATCGGGGAACTATTTTCAAATAGATGACTAAGTTACCAACATTGTGTCAATGACTATGCTTTATAATCGTAAATGAATCATTCGACTACTAATGCAGTCAAGTACAAACTATACAACGTATTTTTTTCCAACTATATTTTAAAATTCCATTAATATGACACAATAGATGTGTATTTGTTTTGAGCTTTCGGCTGACTTCTTATGAATAACTGTTGATTAATTCAAGCTCTACAGAATTATCTGTAAATGTCTATAGTGCAGCTAAGGCAGAAATAAGGAATAGTGTGCCTGTACATGTTATTAATGTTCACATTATCATTTTCTAGCAGGGTAGAAAACGTAAAACACATATGTTGAACTTTTTCGTGTACTGAGCTCGTTGTATGTGATGCGTTTTCTTTTGTGTATCGTTCATTATTCTTTTAAAATTTTAAAAGTTTTTTTCTTCGATTCAGGCAAGCATACATGCCTTTAAAATGTTGATGGAAGCACTATCTTGTGTAATAATGCAAATTAAACAATAGTTCTTGTTCAATTGGAGTGGAGAATGAATGTGGATGAGGAGAATATCCGCACTCACACATCCACATCTTCATGTTTCAATTGGTCGAGTGTTGAGATTTCATCTTCATTAATTCCAAATTCAAATATGAGAAAGGTACGTATCAATTGTTGAGGTAATAGGTGAATGGTTAGTTGAGCTGATTGTGAATATACTTGTGAAGAAAGAAATTGAAAAACAACTTTTTTGTTTTTATATTTAGGATCAGCTTCATCCAATTGAGGAAGTACATAAGTAATGAGGTCCTATTAAAAAAAAAATGGAAAGTAAAATAATCGTTTCTATCAAAGAATAGTAAATAAATGTACTGACATCACAATCTTCAGTCGATAAAGTCTTCTTGTTCGATAAAATTGCATGATGAAGGGGTTGTTAAAGCTTCTCAAAATAACATTTGATATTCTTTTTCACCATCAATAAGTGAATGAAGGCGATTGGTGATATCTGTAGTGGTTTTCTTTTCTTCAAAGCTAATTTTTTCATCTGTAATTGATGGATTTGGATAAAAACTTGATAAAATCCACACATGTGAATCAAGTTCAATGGAAACATCAACATGAAGAAGAAATAAGGTGCTTTTATTTGTAATATTATAGTCAGCCAATGTTCTTGTATTTAGGAGTTCTTTACTCTTAAACAGAAGCGATTCTTCTTCAGCTGAAGCTGAAATACCTAGTCTAGCCTTAATTATGCTAGTCGTACTGATTTTAATACGTACATTAATACTAAATTTTCTACTAGTCCAAGTTGTAATAAAAATAACTTCTCTCAGTAAAGATGATGGTGAATTTAGTTCTATATGGACACGAGACCCATCAATTGTATTTGTGAGGGATTGGAAAATATCAAAAGCTCTAATCCAATCATTTTGTCAAAGATATCGCTCACGGTGACATGATTATTAATGCTAAAATAAATTTTCAAATTATATTTTATATTTCCAACGTATCTCTTTAAAATATTGAAAAATCTGAATTGATTCTCAAATTTTAAATTATTCTGTTCAATATTTTGTTTATCATTATATTTGATGGATGTCTTTCATTCTAGAGAATTTTAATGCAATTACTATTATCAGTATGTCAGTTCTTTAAGAAGAAAAAAATGTCTATCAACTCACTATGCATCGTAAGTCATGTTTTTATGTTCATCAAGCACGAAACTTCTAGAAGCCTGTAGTCAATAGGTATAATATTTATGTTGAAAGCATCAGAGACGAAAGATAACACGCCATATATGTGCTTATCAATGTACTGTGAAATACTAACAGATTCACGCTACATCAATAAACAATTTTTCATATAATATGTTTATTTGTTTTAGATATACTGAAGATCAAACCTGTTTGATGCATGGTAAATAACGTCAAAAATCTATGAATCTTATAAATAAAACTATTAAAATAAATTGAGTTTTATTTAAATGATATCTAGGATTAATCATAATAATGTCTATTATTCGAGAGTAAAACTCAAGGAGTTGAAACTACTACTATCTAAACAATATTCTCAAAATTAATTAATTTTATATGAAGATAGTTCCTCTTTTCACAATCAAATATTTTTATTTTTTTTTCGGAGTTTTTATATTGTGTAAAATAGTATCTCTTTACTGAATGCATTTTAGCATTCAAAAATTGACTTTAAGCATCGAAAAGACTCAAGAAGACAGTGTGAGTGTGGTGTACTTGGGTGCATTTATGGTTTGTGTAGGCTCGACCGACCCGCAAAACCATTTCTTACGAAATACCGATAACGATATCTTTTCTGTTATTACACAAGAAATTGATATTGCGTAGTTAAATCTGAATATATAACACAATACGATATAATATCTGACAACAAAACACAGTTATTCTTCTCTTTACTATTTTTGAAACAAACACTTGGCTAGTGTATATTACTAATGTAGGAAGTCAAATAATGAATGTATTGGGTAGCTGAGTAGAAAATGTTTTCTTATTCTAATTTTAGTATGATAGATGATGAAGCTCTCGTTGCTAGTTGGCTCCATGAAGAATCAACATGGCAGCAACAATTTCGTGGTTGGGATTTTTCCCAGTTAACCTCCAGTGGGCGAATATTATTTAACATGTCTGAGGAACAACTCGGTTGGGATTATACAAAAATTATTTGCCAAACACTGGCAAAACTTTGCGATGCAGATGATGATAACAAGGATGACGAAATTTATTTACTAGATTTGGGAACAGGTGGTGGCGAATTTTTAGAAGAAATACTACCAAAACTTCCGACTAGAGGAAAAAAGTTAAGAGTATATGCAACAGAATCATATAAACCTAATTTTCTATTAGCTAATCAACGTTTGACTCAATATGGCGTTACTGTTATTCAAAGTGATCCAGATAGTCTAAATAGTTTGCTACCATTTATGAATGATGGACCCAAATTCGACTTGATCATGTCTCGTCACACGTGTTACAATACTCGTGAAGTCGACCGTCTGCTTAAATTCGGAACTGGAATCTTTATAACGGAGCAAGTCGATGGAACATCTCATCAAGATTTGATAAAATTATTTGGTCATAAACCACAATGGCCATTTTTTAATCTTGGTTATGCTTCTTACCTGCTGAAACACCAAGCACCATTCATAAAACTGGTTAGAGCACAAGAATCAGAAACAAAGTTGGTGTTTAAGGATATTGGTGCGTTGGTGATTTATTTACATGCTGTACCATGGTTAGTCAAAGATTTCAGTGTACAAAAATACCGTGATATTTTATTGAGATTATATCATGATGGACAAAAAGAATTAGAATTTACTAGCAAATATATGTTCTTAAAAGCAATTAAACGAACGGACAAATAGGTATAAGATGTCTATTATATTTATGTTTCTGAGCTCTTTAATAATAAAGTACCATTATCAAACCGATATATACGATGGTACCGGTCACTTTTTCATACGAAACTGCCAACAGTATGTTCTAATGCATTTTTCTGTGTCTTTTAGTTAATCGTCAGTGAACAATTTTTTGCTATAGAGTCAGTATATCATGTGCATGAGTTTCATGAGTATTTAACAGCTCTCTTAATGTTTGACTTTTCAGGAAGATAAAAAATAAATTTTTATTTCCATCTTTTGTCTTCGAAGTATGAAACTGATAATCTTTTCATCAGAGAATAAAAATTATATAGGCAATCGAGAACAGAGGTGAATTCGCCTTTTTTAATCGATTTGCAGCAATTGATCAAAGTCAAACAACAATTTTAAGTTAAGGGATCAATTTCAAAAGTGATGCAAGATGGAAAGATCGTGACTGATCCGGTGTAACATCTCCAATGATGTTGATGATGTGATACTCGTCACCTTCACTACTAGGTTGAATGAACCATTCACCTTTTTTTTGTCACTTCTTCTCATTATATGCGTGATCCTTTCCTTGACATTTCTGCTCACCATATGCATTGTCCTTACCTTCTTGGCCTTTCCTTTCTATCCTTAGTTTATTGTCCTTGTCTTTCTGTCCTTACTATATTGTTCTCTCTTTTATCTTTCTTTTGATTCATCTGTTCGGCATTGTGATATGGACAATATGCGCCGATACAACGTGAAAAGGTATAATAAAGTGTAATCACACTTGCACTAGCATTCCTTATATAAAGAACCGTTACATCCTGAAGATTAGTTCAATAGAATAATGGGTGATATATAATCACTTATGCTAGAATCGTGTTTGACTATTGGCTTTGGACCATAGATGCGATGTTAATACTTGTAAGCTAACTGATAAAGATAACCATTCGAAGGGAATCAGATTCTTCATCGATTCATTGATCTATTTCTCAACAAAGTTTATCGAAAAATAAGCATTAAAAAATATCGAAGGTGTTCGTGGCAAAATATGGAAATGTCTTCTATTTAACAAGTTCGAAGAGTCGATCATCAATCTCGATTGAGAATAGGAAAAGGAAATACCTGAGGATGGGTGTGGATTTCAATGTCGATCTTCTTATTGGTCCCACCTATACTCGCGATTTCTCTGTAAAGAAATCAATATCATATTTATTTTTTAATTAACAAGAAAAGGCAATGAAACTTAATGCAATATCTATACTTATCTGGAATAGACGATGAAAAACGACCGTATAAGGACTCAGTATTCATCGATCTAAGTAGATTTTCATTTCCGTTCTTTAATCCTTTCCTATAACTCTAAAAATTCAAGATTTTTTTCTTTAACTAAAAACGATAACAAAAAAGATCAGATAAAAATGAAAACGTTAACAGAAACAAAATTTTTTAACTTTCATAGTACTCAAATAGATATCTGTCTTATTTATTATTTTATATTATTGTAAAGTATTTGGAAAAAAATTGCTTACGACTACAATATATTTCGAGTCCATATTTAAGAATAATACTTAGTTTTCTGCTCTCTTTGCAACGATACCCCTGTTCCTAGCTAAACTCGAGGTCAACATTTTTCAACCGGTTGATATGCAATATAAAACTAGTTTTCACCTGACTTGTATTAGAAGAGAATTTCTACATTTCTGGTATGATATTACTAGAAGGAAAGAACAATATGAATTGATTTGACTTGAATGAAATATTACTTGCATTTCATCAGACAATGATAGTATGAGTCATATTTTAGCATAGTTAGATATCAATGAATCTTTCCCATTCTTATATCTCATAACGTCATCTCCTGGTGAAAGAAAAGTTATCTCCCACCCAAGAGTGGTTAATTTCTCTTGTTCTTTTTCTATCATCATATCATATGGTTAATGAAAAAAATCTCTTCTACTATGATGTACATCTTTCTTGATGAGTAGATAATATTTTTGGTGGGAAAGATATTTTACGTATAAATACACAAAAAAAAAAACTTTAACGTCTTCATTCTATTTTTCAACATCACTATAGACCATTTCAAGCAAGTTAATCTCAAGGTAGGATACAAGTGATGTTGTCTTATTGTTTGTATGTTCTATGTCGATGAATTCTATCATTTCTTTTCATGTAGTATAATCATGAGACAAAAATTCTTGACATGTCTTCGATCATAAAAACAGCAAGGTCCAAATGAAAAATCTATATATTAAGCGAATCGATCATGTTGATAGAGTGATACATTGTAATGAATTCTACTAGCAGCACAATTATCGAATCAAAATTGCTATTTTTACGGCAAAGAAAATTCTGAAAGACCTATATTTTATTCTCATGATTTGATCCCTTGAAAAAAAAAAGTTTTACAAGTTCTGTCTAAAATAACTGAGCATGTCAATTTATCTGAAACAGAAGAATTTGTTAAATGCTGTTTATGTATAACTTTCTTTGAAAATGGTTGTAATTAGAATCAATAGGGGGTATCAAGTTCATTTTCATTTTGTTTTATAGAGAAATACCGAGATTATCGAACGATATTAAGGCTGGAAGCGCTGAAACAATGAAGTTTTGGTCAATAATCGTTTATAGACAGTTCACTAGTAATGTCCATAAAGTGTTATACAATTAATTATTTAATAACACTCAGACTCAATATCACAATGTAGCTTATTTACTTCTAATTCGAAGGGTATGCTGAGCTTTCCCTAAAAATATTAGATTATTTTTTTGGGATTATTTTATTCAATATATATATATATATAGAACTAGATACACATGCACGTTCAACCGGAAAAGCTGATGTGAATAGGATATCTTACGCTTTTTCGAGTGTTTCGTGATTGGCTATAGTGCTTATGCTGCTCTGACCAGACAACTGGATCATAGAGCCATGTGTTTATGGTAAATGCATAGTATTTTTGTGTACATTAGTTTTAAATTAGCATCTTTGTTATACTTCACTAAAAAATGCACTTATGCATTGTAAATATAATATGATGTTTAACTTTTATTACACAATAAACATCAGTACTAATTAATTCTATAGTTTCGTTATTTTAATTATTACTTCGAGTTAAAATTAAGCTAAAGATACCTCGATCAATAAGACTTAGCTTAATTCATAAAATATGATTCTAAAATTTCAAACTATAGGCTCTCGTAATATGCAAAACTAAATAAATCTTATGTTTCTAGATATCAAAAGTTCAGTTTGCACAATTCAAACGGAATTATACAATGCGAATTACTATTATTTCAACTGTATACTTGGTACTCATTGTAATAAAAGTGTTGCAGTGTGCAGTTATTCGTCTATCTATTGGAAACCAACTATTTGGCGAGAAAGGGTTGGCATCAGGATTCGAAGAAATTGTATATCCGACGGAAGATGATACAAAAAAAATCGTTAAACATAAACGACACACATGTTGTCAGATTTCTAATAAGAAGTGTTGCTGTAAATATGATAATATTCAATGTGTTAACGTTGGTTATTTCTGGCTTGACAAAGAAGAACTCTGTGTGGATCGCACTGGTTTGCCAAAATATCCAGGCACTAAAGACTGTGGCGGATGTTATCTAGGTTGGAAGTGTTAAAGACTATTCTGATACAATAGTACATAAGATTATTAATTCTTCAAACTCTGATTGTATATTATTCCCTCGACTAAATAAAGAGTGATATGAAATAAAATCCATTCACACATCTGTTCAGATTCTAGAAATTCGGCACCTGCTTTTCTTACTAGGGATAGGTATTCCCTCAAATCAAGAGAGAATCATATAAAATAAGTTAAATGTGATGCTATGTTGTTCTAATTCGCATGCACGTGTTTGGTCACATACCCAGTTGTATTGACATAGGTTGACATTGATCCATTGCGATAATGACGACGACATGGTGCTGTTGTCACCCTACTCAGGTTGGATGTGAATGTGTTGAAAAGAAAGTTTACACCCACACCTGCATAAGAATAAGAATTAATTGTAAAAAATAGATTATTTATTTATTTTTTTATGACAAGATGGTATAATAAACGGTCATGCCTATGATCACTCGGAAAAGTTCGTATGAATACCTAGATAGACGAGAATATACGAACAAGTATTGATGTAGATGTGTGTTAATGGGAACCTCACAAATATACACACTCATATCCACACCCAACTTTTTATTAAGTACTATTCCGAAAGCTGATGAACACATCTAGTTGCATACATTATTCGAAACTTCTTTTTTTAACTTATACTATCGAATCGTTGGAACTACACTGCGTTCTCCTATTGGTATCATATCTTTTACAAATAAGAACGAGTAATTTTGGAAAAAGTACGAGCACCACTTTACAAAGTTTCTAGATTTCAATGGCTTGAAGTTCTATTATTCATTTGTGTTTTGTTTCGTCATGTTTGCATGATTCAAGAGTGAAGTAGGGATCAGGTGGTATCAGTTCTTCTTCTTCATCAAAATCCGAGTGCCGAGATAGATCGCTGTTGTACGAAGAACTTGGGCCGCCGCCTGTGTGGATGGCAAATAGAGTATTGCCATCCATGAACTCGGCTATTGCTTGACTACGACTAGTTGAGATAAAGCTAGAGAAGAAAATCATCCTTTCCGAAGGACTGACACCACCACATTTCTTTTGATACTGTTCGATCGAATGAACAGCCAAGTTTGCACTACGATAGACGATCATAGGTTTATTACTATATTTCCAGTCGTCCAGATCAAAAAGTAGTAAAGCAAACGGACCTAAGGTAACTACATACCTTGCTTCATCACAGAGTCTGCAGTTTTTCGTCTTTTTCCTCCACTAATCGCATAATCTCGTTCAGTTTTTTGTAAAGAAATGATTCCGTACAATACTTCTCGAGTTTAATCCTGGACATTCAATGGCTGCTGGGCCATCCATTCAGCCTCTTTCTGTTTTTCCATTTTCTTTCCTTCAATGATTAGTTCATCAGCAGCTTTCTCTACCACCATTCGTCGTGCGTCAGAATCGTCCACCAGTTGCTGGTAATAATTAACATTGAAAGCATCCATGGTGCTGTGACAAAAAGCGCTTGCTAATTAAGGCCCCAGATTCGTCGTACAAGCAACCGTTGGCACAATATAGTCAAACATATATCTTTCCTTTCTTAGTTTTTTTTCTTCTCTGGCGTTTATTAATCGTCGAACAGGTCATTGACATCTAATATCATTGTTTGAGATAAATAAGAAGTGTACCAAGTCGATGTGATAATCGTCGAGTAGAGCTTCGGGTAACTTAGCCTCATATGCATCCTTAATAATGTCCGTCTCAATGTCGGAGTATGGAAGCCACTCTGGTGGTTCGTTTGAGAACGGCTCTTCGTTAGCTATCCACATCCAGACAATGCGTGATCGAGCAGATGAAAACGTGGCCATGTTTTTCTGTTGGCGTAAAGTTGGTATTACCAGAAATCAAATGGTTTTGAAGTAGACGTGAAAAAGAACGTTGTTTTATGTGTATGAGTAACGACAAAAAAGAAACGAAAAGAAAAATAATATGCAATATGTGACGTCGCACGTTGTTGCTTTGCTTAATGTTACTGCTGTGTTACGCCCATTCACTTGTTTTCGAATAAAAGCGTTTTTATCTGCAAAAGGAAAGATTCTATCATAACGGAAGAAAAAAAGACATGAGTTTCTATTAGCATTTGCGAAATCAAATAATGCACACAAAAAAGAACTCCAATCAACATGAAGTGTCTGTGATTTCTTGACTCGATATACGTAAAAAGTCATTTTTCAGACATGAACTCATTTTGGCTGCAGAAGTGGCATGGAGTTTGAAAAAAAAAAGTATTTGATTTCGAAATAGAAATAGTTAAAATAGTTATAGTACTAGCAACAGACTTTTAAGTTTAGCAAAAGTCAAATCATGTAAAAAAAAGGAAAATAACTAGCAGCTGATATGTTTACAATTTATATTGGTGTTTGATAGCCTACAGTTTAATAATGGACTTTTGATGATTAAAATAAATCTATCACTTTGGCTTCATGTCTGTCAAATAGGATTGATTATTATTGAAGGTGCCTGTGTCCTTTCGTAACATTGTATCAAAAGTACTCGTGCTAAAAATGTGTATATACTTCAGGGTGTGGGTCTGGGGTGTGGGGTGTGGGTGCGGGTGTGGGTGTGGGTCTGGGTCTGGGTCTGGGTGTGGATGTGGGTGTGGGTGTGCGTGGGTGTGGGTGGGTGTGGATGGGGTGTGGGTGGCTGTGGGTGTGTGTGGGGGGTGTGAGTGTGGGTGGGGTGTGGGCGTGGGTGTGAGTGTGGGTGTTGAGAAAGTATTAACACCCATATCCCACCCCACCCCACACCCATACACCTACACCCACACCGACACCGACACCCACATCCATACTCACACCCACACCCTCAAGAGACAAAACTTGCCATATCAACAAATAAATTTATAACATTTATATCACTGCGACGATGAAACAGCATTATCTAGCTGTGATAAACGCTGAACAAGTTCTAGAGATTGTTTGAGCTCTTTATGTTTACGCGGTAATTTAGTCTTTCGTATACAGAGCGATCTTTGAGCATAATCCAGTGCTGTCGAATAATCATCTTGTTCTGCGTACAATTCACTCAGCTCGTAGCATGTTCGAGCAACATATGGATTATCATTACCATGAAAGGATACACGCATTTGCAGCGACTGTTTAAAATAGTCGATTGCTTGCTCGCGATTGTTTAAGGAACGTTGCACTAAACCAATAATGTGTAATGTTTGTGCTTCACATGTATAATTAGGTGGCAACGTCTTTTTGACCAATGTTAACGTGTTCTTGAGCAACTCAAGTGCAGACTCATATTGTCCATTCCGCCGGTAGAGTTCTGCAAGATGATTATAATGGAAGCCAAAAATATAATGGTTTTTAGGTAAGGTTCTATGGTAGATTGTTGAGGCTCGTCTAAGAAAATATATTGCTCGTGCGAGATGTCCAAATTCTAGATATATTGCGCCTAAACAGTCTAGTGTACGAGCATAAGTCATATTCGACTGTGGCAATCTGTGTCGCTCTAACAGTCGAGCCGATTGACAATATGCAATTGCTTCTTCATATTTTCCCATAGAATGATAAACATATGCCAAGTAATAGTACATACCAGCACGATTGTCGTCATTAAACGTTTTCGAACGCAGTAGACCATGTAAATAATGCAGAGCTTCTGAATAATTACTAAGAATTTCGCATGTAAGATATCCGAATGATATCGCCGGTGTTGTTTCAATGGTACGTTCGAGAGTATATCTATTATACTCTTTACTAAGTAAAGCGACTTCTGATGATGCAATCATTTGAATATACCAAACACGATGCTTGTCATCATAATTAATATCCGTAACAATGAAGGTGGTGCCTAAATTAAATAGTACTTCCTTTTCATCTGGCACTATACTCTGATCGGACACATCGCTGACAATGACGTCAGGTGAATTCATCAGATCAACATGCACTTCAAACAGAACATACTGATACTGATCCTCACGATCATGACTTGGTGATATGCCAGTATCCGGGTCGATGCCGATAAATCGTTGAGCAACATCTAAATGTCGCGATGACGAGAAAAAACCATTAGTTGCGACTAGTGAATCAACTTGCAGTTTTTCGACCTCAACGCGACTAATTTTTGATCCACGATAGACTCGAAATGTTTTAGCATAATTAACACTTGTCAATGTCGTCTCTTCGAGACGTATACATAAATCAATAATAAAGTAACGGAATTTGTATACAACGAGATTATCTTCAGTTCGTAAAACTCTGTTAATAAGACGATGGAGAAAACAAGATTTTGTATACCAAAGAATAGCATCAGCCGAGCGATAAGTGTGTTCAAACTCATCGATTTTAGCCAACGTGTATTGATCATTGTAATAGCATTTACGGCACTCGGCAAGCATTTCTCGCTTGGCTTCAGATGAATTATAAGACATAGCTTTCAGAACTACTGTATAAAACAATGAAAGTCAAGACAGTTCTTTGGTAAAAGGTGCATCGAAAAATAATAATATAGACTGATTAACTTAGTGCAGTTAAAAATAGATCTAATATTCAGATATGATCAGATTATGAAGATATTTCAGCAAAACCTATTTGAAAAACTACGATACACTTTCATAGAATAAAAACTTACCATAAAAAAGTTCATATCCCGAAATCTGAGCATCATTTCTATAAGAAATTGTTTGCGGGCTACTTGGCAATCAGACTTTTGAATAATATATGTAAGATACCACAATGAAGGCAAGAGTGCTTCGATCTGTTTCCTTCTGAATCTTTTTCGATTATTCTCACAGAAAGATAAACGATGACTGCACAAATACGAGTACAAAATGTACTTTGAAGTGAGTACTGCCCGCAAAACCCAGAATTTTAGAATTTGTTTCATCAAAGTCATACGTCATCTTCCAGTCATAAACGATTCCAATCACTTTCATACAGCACGAAACCTAATCGAAATATATTTAGCGTGTTCTCTACTGATACAAGTACAGTGAGCCACGTAAATATACGTGACCAGACCCTATAATCCGTGCCCTGTACTAGTTCATACTGTTATAGTTTGCCAATACAGTCATGACTATGTGTATCGATTAAAAAAAATCTAGAATTTAAGAATTCCTATTGTCTTGTACTGGCATGTGCTGTGATACATGTACTCTCATAACTACATGTATTAGGTAGAAAAATCTAGAATTGGTAGAATTGGTATCATGTACTGCCATGCGTGTACTTTGACTACTATTTGTATTGGATCAAAAAATAGAATTTGTGGAATTTGTACTATGTCCGTTCGAACCGGCTATACAAAAGTTAACAAGTAAGTCTTCATGTCTGTGGATCTTCGTCGTACCCTGAGTCAAGTATTACATTCTGTATCTTTGTTTCCGCCTTTATCCTCGGTCAAGTGATGCGCCCTGTGTTTTCGCCCTCATCCTCAAGTTAACATCCGTTACAGTGCATGGCAATCCATGGTACAAATTCTACAAACTCCAGGTTTTTTGGTCCAATACATAGTGATCAAAGTGCATGTACGTTTAATAGAAGTACATGCGTAAACGACAGTACAAATTGTATTTGTATTTGCGCACCTCTGAAATTAACGAAAAATATTTGTTAATTATGGGCGTTCGTTCCCGCTAGAGCCTCGAATTCGTCACTACTCACATTCAAATAAGGAGAAGATCTTTAAATCTAAGTGATCACTAAAGAGATACAAACCTACTGTTATGCTATTATTTCAAATTATCATTTTAGTTTACGCATAAGCATTTATTTGACCGATCAAGTAAACTAACCTCTGAGCGATTGACTCCATATGTACGGACCAAGCTCATTATGAAGGTTTCGCAATGATTTCTCCGGTCGATTAAAAAAAACGAAGAAATCATCATCAAATTGGTCGGTCTCGTTCATTAAGTGCTGAAATCGAGCAAATAATGATTGATAATCATGGAATATTTCACATATTTTACCAATTTCGACTTGAATATTGACTGGAAGATCAATACCAATGCCATTATCTTTACCATCAATCAAAGGAACCATAAATATAGATTGTATTTGCCGATATAGAAAAAGTCGAGAAATATCACTAGTATTTATTGAATAGTGATCGATAGTCATAATTATAACAATACGTTCATATGCTTTTGCTTGGTTTAAATATTTCAGACATTTCGAAACGTTTGTATAACGAATAATGTGACAATTATTGCAAGCACATAGACGACCCAGTGTTTCGTCTCTCTCCCTCGAGAATGAAGATATATCTTCAATCCAAATAAGAGTAAGACCAATGCACAACGATGGTAATTGACGAATTGGAATATTATGAGCTTTTTTACCATGAAGTTTTGACATGAGAGAAATGATTTAAAAATCAGAATTTTTGTTTTAAAATTTAGCCATATATCTGAAACAAAGTTTTGCGAAATACATCAAATCGGAAGGGCATCGAATATCAATAGGCATCACAGATACGCTCATATGATGGCTTCGGAGAATATCCCCGGAAACTCAATTGTGTCCTAGGGTAAGAGGTATAGAGACAGATAGCTATAGGAGATATAGGAGGTATAAGAGGTATTGGAGATATAGCAGGTATAGGAGATAGAGGAGGCACAGGAGATATTGATTAACTGATACAGCTAATCATTTAATAGTGTTTGAATTTAAACATCTATTCAGAAAATATATTGGTGCCCCATTGGCGACCCTTGCTCGAAAAAATCAATCATAAAAATAAATAACTGTTTACTATGTCTCCTACATCTTTGTATCTCCTATACCTCCTATACGACCCTTGCTCGAAAAAATCAATCATAAAAAAAAATAACTGTTTACTATATCTCCTATATCTTCTATACCTCCTATATCTCCTATACCTCTTACCCTAGGACATAGTTGAGTTTCTGGAGATATTCTCCGAAGACATGTGATCGATACGTTTTTCCTTTTTATATCGACAAAAAATTTGATAATGAATAGAAACAATAAAATTTGAGTTTTACAATCACAACTTAACGATATTTTAACTTTCTAATATCTATTATAATAAATTGCAATAACCAACTTACGTGCTGGCTCCCATAAAATACATGAAAACTCGTAGAACACTATATAAAACTATATGAACATGTAATTTTTCTTCATAAATAGGATCATCCTGTCAAAAACTTCTTGTAAAGTTATAGTACTACAAACAATCAAAACGACGACGCCTTCATAACACTATAACCGAATATAATGATGCACGGTATATACATAAAACGAACTATATTTCACACGCATGCTTTTAGTATAAAAAAAATATTATATAATAAAAAGTAAGTATGTAATATTAGTGCGCATATGGATATTATCAGTAACAAAATCCGTATTTTGTTTTCGTTAATCAATTATCTTTTTATGACTGTATAAACCCAAACAGCACGCGTGTACTGATAAATATTAATCCTTCTTAAGGAAAGTGAATGTACAGAATGATATACATGGTCGGAAATAATACTATCCTGATAGGGGAGGTTGGGGTGGGGTAACGCGGATGTGCGGTGTGTGGATGTGGGTGTGGCTATTGACTTAAACCAGCACACACACCCACCCTAATTCAGTATATGGATCTTGGGTTGAAGTACTTTTCAAATTGTAGTTGGGTACTCACATAAAGCCATCCAAATTCTCTCATAAATTGATTCAACCCAGCCCAACGGCTTCTCTGTTTTGGATAGTCCTTATCGTACATTGACTCTTAGCAAGAGGATAAAGACATCTTGATTGGAGGGCATATGTATGCGGGTGTGGGTCTTCTTTTCACACGAACTCCACACACCCATACCCAAGAACAAACGGAGCATCAATCGACTGAATAGTATGACATTTTATGTGACAAAGGACGTTGAGAATGCTGTTAACCGTCACGTTGAAGTTGATCAAATAGATAAATCCGAGAATGAAAGCCAACATCGTTTTAGAAGAAAGATCGAATGCTTCTACGTACGGATATTTAATAGAAAAATATTTCATTACTGAGAATAACACCATATGTTCTGAATCTTCCTTCTATTGTGTGTATTTGTCATTTCATTCGAAGGTGCCTATATGATATAAGTAATATTCTTATCTTTATACTATCGGATGGATCATACATAATAGCGCCTTTTTTCACTGATATTTCATCGAAAATTTATCTAGATTCGATCTCGTATGCATTAGTCTTTCTATATAAGAGTCGCTTCGACGATTCCAAGAAAAATGAATAGCCTCTTCAACGAGATTACACCGAAAACGTTTGGAAGAATATGATCGAAAGTGAGAAATCCTATTTCAGAGTTTCATTATATATCGTTAACTATCGCCATTCATTCTTGTACTAAAATATACAATATCAATGCATTGATCAAATGTTCTTAAGCAGAATTCATTTTCGGATCCGAACAGGAGTACAAACTTGAAGCAGACTATTTCAATTTCGATTTATTTCCCTTGCAAGCCATCCAGACTCGATCATAACCATCAGTACTATCCATTTACAATTAGATCTATGACAGTTCCCGTTCAACGAACTGAACTGGTGTTAAGCACTCAGTTCTTTTGAAAAAAACGAGAACTGGTGATCAGTTCTTTTGAAAAGAAGGGTGTGGATGTTACTAAAGAGAAGATTTCACCATTCACACCTACTCACATCCCACCCACACCCACACTCATCCGCATCCACACCTACACCCACCGCACACCCAAACCCATCCCACACCCAAAAACATATAGCTTCATTAAATGAGTAATTTCTTGAAAACGATTTTTCCTCCAATGTATTCCTACTGTTGTCCCCAGCTTGCATTTCCGAGGTAAGCACCTAAAAGTCAGTATCATGCTCATGGCAAACAACATGTTTTTGATTTAAAATTCAACCAAGTTGTAGAGAGAAGAATACTCTACAAATCTGCATGATTTGCAAACAGTTTTGACATCACTCTACCTATGAAAAAGAGAGAATACAATAAAATCTGTACAAAATGAGTACAGTTTATGTCTTCAAGAAGTTGCTGCCTTCATCTTCTACGACAAAAATAATTAAGAAAACACTATTTCTGATACAGTTTTGCACGCTCTTTCTACTGGTATCACGGGAATGAAAAATCAATTGAAAACTAAAATAAAATATGTCAGTTTGTCAAGTTTTTCTGTGTATCATCGGTGTATTTCAAAACCTAACCCTGATCGACTACTTTTGAACGAGATGACACAACAAAAATTATTCCAACGTGTAGAGAAGAATTTTCTCTTTCCAATGATCTGTTTAAAAGAAATTTTTAACTTAGAATACTTACGTAGATTATCAAAAAGACAAGTTGTTGATCAATTTTGGAACGGTCAAAAACCATACGTTTTGATTGTTTGGTCAATAACTGCAGAACAGAAGGACACTTTGACT